GATCGCAACCCTCAGTGTCGCCCCCTACCGGACCGGGACCGGCAACGGGATCGCAGCCCTCGGTGTTGCTCCTGTGCCTCGCTCAGCCAGTGAGCGGGAACCGGTCTGTATGTGGGATCCGAACCCTCGGCGGGAGCGCCGCCGTACTTCCCAAGCAGCGCACTACAGCAGTGCGCCACCGGGCCGGCCCCATACCTAGTTATTTTCAATGAAGTTTTTCATCCTGCTTTTCCACTTAATATCACATCTTAAAATTTTCCCTTAAATACTCTTCAAAATTATAATTTTAATAACTGTATTATATTAGATTTTATGGAGATCCATAATTTATTTAGCCATTCTCATATTCTTGGATATTCAATTTATTCCCAATTTTATACCTTTATATAACTGCCTTCCACATAAAAATTTCCTTTATTTGTTACAGTTTCAAGAAGTAGGATAATTGGTTGAAAGTGTATGAACATTTTAAAAACTTCTATGTATGAATCCAATCTGTTCTTCAAAAAAGTTTTACCAATTTATACTTATACTAGAATATTCTGACACTGTTTCTCTCATAGCCTCAATATTATACAGTATCATATTTTTTCAGTTTGAGAGATGAAAAATGTCGTTTTTCTGTTTTGTTTTCTTTTTTCCTTTTCTATGAACATCTTGGAATGTATTTATTAGCCACTTGTGTTTCTTTTGGGTGTTTGACTTGTCTGCTCATGTCCTTCATCAAATTTCTGTTAAGATTTTTCTAATTCACTTTTAAGAGTTCTTTATGCATTAAGATTTTAATCTTTGTGTGTTAAACTTGTTCCTTATCAATTGACTTTAAATTCAATTTGTGATGTTTTCCTGCGTTTGTACATTGAGAAAATAATTTTCTGTCTAAACATTAAATAAATTAGAAAATAAAAATAAAGGTTAATGAAGCATACAAAACAATAGTTTATAGTTTTATGGATGCTTACAAAGTGCAGTAAAAGTCTAAAAACATGTACAGAAATTGTATACATCAACCTCAGCAAAGTAGTTACCTGTGGAGAGGAAGAGACAGGAATGGGATCTGGAGGGTACACCAGGAGGCTCCAACTTATCTATTATATTATTTATTTGACAATAACATCAATAACAGAAATATCTGAAACAAATGTGGCAAAATATATATATATATTTTTTTAGGGCAGTAGGTATTTGGCTATTCATTATATTATTCTCTATGTTTTTCTATTCTCAATCTAAAAATGTTTAGAAACTAGTGATATAAATGTGCAACTGCCTAGCATCACAGTCGCCTAAATCAGCACATAGGTAAGTATCCAGGTCAAGGAAATAACTGGTTACAGGGCTCCTGTAGAATCTTGTTGACTTGCTCCAAATTAACATTAAAAACAAACAAACAAACAAAAGCCAGTAATGTTTAGCTCTATGGCTTTGCAAGCTGACAGGCTGAAAATGTTAATCCCTAGGCATATGCTCTATAGCCTTTGACTATTTCAGAGGTATACTTTAAGATAGTTTGGCACTGCTCTGCTGTAATTTCTTATAAAATCCTGTCTATCTTAAACAAAACTGTCATTAACACATAAGAGTCTGATTTAAAATTATACAGATGTGTTATTTTCTCTGCTTTCTCTGTGGGGTTAGTGCCTTTATAGCCATTAGGACTCCACATATACATCAGAACTTGCAATGGCATTAAGAATTTTAGCATAGACTATTTCAGGGAGAAAAGACAACACTCAGGAAAAGGAGTGACAAGGAGATAACAAATGGGCTTATAATGATATGAAATAATAATAACAGCAGCAGCTAAGGTTTATAGAGCACTTGCTATGTGCCAGGCACTTACCCACTGCTTTACATTTAAATCTCAAATACACCCTATGAGGTTGGAATTATTATCCTACTTTATAGATAAGATTAAAGGGAAATAAATGGTCACACAATTATTAAAAGATAGAGCCAAGGGTTTGAATGTAGATAATTTGAGTCCAGAGAACATTTCCTCACCACTAAAGATATCATGGCAATTCAACCATACACATTTACTGGGACCCTGCCATGCAAAGCAGCACATAGCAAGCACATGGTATAATATGACCTGGCTTTCCTTTATGTTTGCATCTGACTGATCACATGGTTCAATGTTTCTTTTCACCAGTTACTACATCAAGATAATCTTTATACTCAAAATACTTCTCCAGATAATTAACGATAACCAATCTATGAACAATGATTATCAAAGCAAAGCACCAACAGTTTAAAGGGTTCAAAAATTAATCCAGAGGAAAGCCTCTAATATGTCATAATAATGTAGAAAGTGTCTGCATATACAGGTGTTTTGGGCATTAATTTTTGGGGGGTGTTTTTCCCAGTTTCAAACTAAAATGCTGCAATAATTATATGAGTTAATATGGCAATTTCATGTTGTAAAAATCAGATATGAGTTTGTTGGCATCTCATCAAAAACAGCAGCATTATTCATTCCTATTAATTCTAATAAAATGATTGTGTGCTTTTTAAAATTATTATTAAGAAAGCAGAAAAGGCAAGCTAGGATTTTTGTCCTGTTGAACTGGTTCACATATTAAAGACATCTGAAAACTACTGTCTCTTAAGGACAATATTGGGCTGGCCAGTTAGCTCAGTTGGTTAGAGCACCACCTTGTAACACCAAAGTCAAGGGTTCAGATTCCCTTACTGCCAGCTTCCAAAAACCAAACAAACCAAAAAATGATAAAGAAAATATACTTAAAAATGGTCAAGACAGGGCCGGCCCGGTGGCGCACTGGACAGTGTGCTGCTTGGGAGCGCGGCGGCGCTCCCGCCGAGGGTTCGGATCCCATGTGGAGACCGGTTCCCGCTCACTGGCTGAGCGTGGTGCGGGCACAACACCGAGGGTACAGGCGTGACACCGAGGGCTGCGATCCCGTTACCGGTCAGTAAAAAAGACAAAAAGGAAAAAAAAATAAAATAAATAAATAAGGACAATGTAAAAGAGATTAAGCAATCTAAAATTCAGTGATACTAGGACTAGAGTAAATACTACAAAAATTCAGAAGAATACATAGTCCTTGCTCTCAACATTTCTTTTAATTAAAATATGAGTCAGTGATTCTCCAACTTTAGCATAGATCAGAATCATTCAGAGAGCCTGTTAAAACACAGATTGCTGGGTACCATCCCCCAAATTTCTGATTCAGTAGATCTGGCATGGGACCTAAGAATATGCATTTCTAACATGTTCCTGGGTACCATACTTTAAGAATCACTGGATTACTTCATTTCCATTTTTTAATTTATTTTTATTTTTTTTTTATTCTTCAGCTAACACAGCAGAAGAGATGATTTATTGTACATAGTATACTCGGCCATAACTGAGAACAGAACTAGTCCAGAATGTCACAGGTCCAGGGCAATGGACCAACAGGGACTGTTTTAAAATGAGCAAGGTGGGTCTCTCAGATGTGGTCTTAGCACTTGGATGGAAATGGAAATCCTAGATCCATTGTGAGACAAGTTCTAGACAGTAGCATGCAGTCCAACAACTTATACCAGCATCCCCTGCCTCTGGCATTCCATATTTCTGCTCCTGTGGCCTCCATGGGTGCACAAACTAGCTGTTTATTTGGATCTCTGCCTCATCTTTCTTCTTTTGCATTTCAGCCTGTGCATTTGCTTCTTCCTCCACTTGGCTCTTGTGGTGCAGAGTTTTCTAAGAAGATGGCGCTAAGGCTAGGAAAGCTACTTCATTTCCTTACAAACAAATCTTTCTTATTCTAACTCCATACTTTCAAAATAATGTTATTGCTTTCGTCCTTACCTTTATTTTAGGTGAATATACCATAAATTAAAAACCCACAAGAGTACAGACATGAAAGAATAACAAAACTATGCAAATGAAAGGACTAATCATTCATTTGGACCTCAGACACTCGGCAATACCAGTCACATGCAACTAGCTATAATCACATAAGTAATCGCTGAGATTGATAAGGAATAAAGTCAAGAAAAGGCAAAGATGTGGTGTTACTTCTGATTTTTCCACCATAATAAATTGGAATCAGAAGGGAAGGGGAGTTATGGGGCCGGCCCGGTGGCGCACTGGATAGTGCGCCGCTTGGGAAGCGCGGCGGCACTCCCGCCCGAGGGTTCGGATCCCATATACGGACCGGTTCCTGCTCACTGGCTGAGCGAGGTGCGGGAGCAACGCCGAGGGCTGCGATCCCGTTGCCAGTCCCCGGTCCGGTACAGGGGCGACACTGAGGGTTGCGATCCGTTGCCGGACACGGAAACAGACAAAAAAAAAAAAAAAAGAAGGGAAGGGGAGTTATAATAGCCAAGAAACATAGAACTGGAAAAACAAAACAAAACAAAACAAAACGAAAACCAAAAAAAAAAAACAAGGAAGAGACATGAAGAAAAAAAAAAAACTGTATGGGATTAGTATAGCAGAAAGTGGGATTAGGAATTCAAGTGAAAATGGATAAGAAGTTGACACATTAATGAGAAAGAGCTATAACTGAAGTGGCCATAATAGAAAAAAAAGAAAAAAGAGTGAATAAATTATCTAAAAGTGTGGGATAATTCACCAAAAGGACAAGCCAAGTCCTAAAACCTAAATAACTCCTGTAAGGTTATTACTATGCCATATTAGTAATGCCATACTAAAGCACACCAACACACAGCAATCTGGGAACATTTAGTATGAAAGAAAAAAGCCATGTATACTTTTAGTGAACATAAAAATGACCCTGAGATAGCAAAAGTGTCGTGAGCAATAACCCTGAGTCATCAAGAAAAGATTAAAATATAGTTGACTCTTATGGCAAAAGAAAAAATTATATCCAAAAAATGTCCTGGCAATTAATGGGCAAATAATTAACTAGAAATGTCAATCATTCAGATTTCTGTGATTTTTTTCAAGTGTTACCCAAAAAGATAATGGGGTCACATGAAAAATAATATGATGACTTTAGTTGAATTCTCTAATAACTTTTACTTACCAGTAGGAAGATCATCAACTTTTGCTAGGTCATTCTCTTCTATTCCAGGCATTCCTGCATCACCACCTCGTTTGATTTGTTCTGCCCAAGTAAAAAAAAAAAGATATATTTCTAAAATTTTCTTTCTTTTTTTTTTTTTTTCTTTTTGGTAGCTGGTCAGTACAAGTATCTGAACTCTTGACTTTGGTGTTATAACACCATGTTCTAACCAACTGAGCTGATCAGTCAGCCCCCTATTTTTTCTTAAATAAATTGAAAATGTTTTGAAGGAACATAACAATCAGTTTCTGAAGCTACATTGACTGAATATTTTTATATCTTGCTTCGGACATAGCTGTAACTCTAAAACAACTTACTTTTTTTCTCTACCATCAAAATATCCAAACTTTAAACAATATAGTCACCTAATAATATCTGAACTAAAGTCAAACAATTTTCTTTTTCTTTTTTTTTTTTTTTTGGTCCTTTTTGTGACTGGCTGCACCGTGCTCAGCCGGTGAGCGCATCGCACCGGCCATCCCTATATAGGATCCGAACCCGTGGCGGGAGCGCTGCTGTGCTCCCAGTGCCCCACTCTCCCGAGTGCGCCATGGGCTCGGCCCAATCAATTTTCTTTTTGATCGAAATTGTTCACTTCAAAATGGGAAGAAAAGGTCAATATCCTATTAACACAAAACAAAATAATATTAATACCTTTCCCATGTAGAATATGATTGCTTGAGGGCTCTTCATTGTTATTTGCAGCATTCTCAGCTATTTTTGGAATATTTTTAGGTACTACATGATCGCTTACACCCAATTCTTTTCCATCGTTTGATTGAAACTTGTGGGACTCTTGCTGTTAGGTAAAGATTTGGTAACAGTAAATATTTTTCAGTTCAAAGTGTTAAACCATTCACACAACCATTAATCAAATATTCTGAAACAGTTCATCTTTTTTTTTTTTTCCCTTTTTGTCTTTTTTCATGACCGGTAACGGGATCGCAACCCTCTGTGTCGCGCCCGTACCGCAACCGGCAACAGGATCGCAACCTTCAGTATCGCGCCCGCACCGCGCTCAACCAGTGAGCAGACTGGTCTCTATATGGGATCCGAACCCTCGGCGGGAGCGCTGCCGCGCTCCCAAGCGCCGCACTCTACTGAGTGCGCCACCGGGCCAGCCCTGAACCAGTTCATCTTTTAAAACATATACCACGGGTTTAAACTCTGAACACTTGGAGATGTGCAATATAATATTTTGTGTTCAAATTTTATACCTGCTTGAAGTCAAAGAATAACTAACATTTTTAAAAGTCTCTAATTACAGTAAATAGCCTAAAATGTTAGGCAGACATAATTCTCTTGGTTCCGTAAGATAGACCGCTCAGCACTGTGTGTTGCTGTGGTGGCACTGTCCTAGGTACTATGAGCAGGGTAGGTTATCTGTAGGCTTACGTTAAAATCAAGCAGATGGCAGAAAGGAGGAGGTTGGCACACAGATGCCCCTTCAAGTGTGATAGATGGCTACTGATTGTCAGGCTTTTCCCCAAGTGGAAAGAGCAAGGTTGAAAAACAGACCAATTTCTTCCGAGGACAGTGGCCACCCCAGCATAACAACTAATGGCAGGACAATACACAGGCTAGTGCTCCTTTCAACCTTCTCCTAATCATATCATCTTCTTGGAAACTTGAATCTTCAGGAATACAATTCTATTGGTGGACCAATTCTGAATTGCCTGAGTGGAAAACTGGGAGATGCAAGGAGTCAAGTGTACATGCTTGGGTTGCCATATAGGTCCCTCTAGTTAGTATTTAATGCAAATATAAATGCCTTGTAAACTCTAAAGCACTAGGCAATGTGATTATTAGTAATACTATAAAAATAGTATTAAAAAATCTAAATGAAATCTAGAAAACCAACAGCCAAATCTTAAGAATGTGTTATAATAAAGAAGAAAGGGTGCTTTGACAATCAAATACAAATATTCCAGTGTCCTAGCAGATAAAATCAACAACAAAAATTGCACCATGCTTCAAAGTTTACAAATTGCTCTCATATCTATCCTCCAGTAGAGATAAATGAATAGTTCTGAGAAAAACAAAACAAAATAAAAGTGAGGCTTTAAAAAGTTAAGTACCTTGTCCAAGGTAACAGAGCTAGAGAATTGAGAGGAAGGGATTCAAACCAGTCTGACTCCAAATCCCACATTTCTGCAATGTGGTGAGCTATAACCAATTCTCAGAGCTTAATCATTTATTTATCTTATTTTATTTTTGGTGGCTGGCTGGTACAGGAATCAAACTCTGGACCTTGGTATTAACAGCACCAGGCTCTAACCAACTGAGCTAACTGGCCAGCCCCCAAGAGCTTATTGATGAATAAAATGATAAACCACAATTTTTTTTTTTTTTTAAAAGATGACCGGTAAGGGGATCTTAACCCTTGACTTGGTGTTGTCAGCACCACGCTCAGCCAGTGAGCGAACCGGCCATCCGTATATGGGATCCGAACCCGTGGCCTTGGTGTTATCAGCACCGCACTCTCCCGAGTGAGCCACGGGCCGGCCCAGAACCACAATTTTTGAACAAGTCAATATGAAAACCAAGGGTGAGAAAAATCCATGAGGCACAAACCTGAGCAACCATCCTGCATCTCTGTGCATTTTCACTCTAATGCTATATCATAAGTCTATTTCTATAGTACTCTACTGTTTCATAGATGTGGATAGGACACAGAATATTAAACAAAAATTAAAAGTCAACAAACAACTGTTCAAAAAGACTTTTCCACTGAAAATAGTTAACAAAGATGTTGTCCTTTTAGCATTAACAGAAACTTTATGTGAATGGACAACATTAAATATCCTTAATAAAATAAGATGGCTTTCTAGATGCAACATTTGTGATTTGGTAAGGAGGCCTTCTAATTGTTTCAATAAATAATAAAAAATAAAAGTAAATAAACTTTTTATTCTGAAATAATTTTAGATTTATAGAAAAATAATTGCCCTTACCCAGTTTCCCCTATTAACATCTTACATTACCATAGTACATTTGCAAAACAAGAAACCAATATTAGTACATTACTATTAACTAAACATCAAACTTTATTGAGATTTCACCAGTTTCTCCACTAAGTTTTCCAGTTTTTCTGTTCCAGGATCCAATTCAGGATATTACATTGCATTTAAGTCCTCAGGTCTCCTTAGTCTTCTCTGTTCTGTAACAGTTTCTCTGCCCTTGTAGCATGAAAGTAGCAATGAGCATGGCTATGCTTCAATAAAATTTTATTTATGAACACTAAAATATAAATTTCTTATAATTTTTCTATGTCATAAAATATTATTCTTTTGATTTTTTTTCAACCTTTTAAAAATGCAAAAGCCATTTTTAGCTTGCTGTAAAATACTGAAAAAGCTAAGAACACAAACCTGATGTCCTTAACTTCTAGTCCTTTAGGTGAGATGTTACCAAAGAACAAAACAAATACTCTTCCTTATTAAATCTTTCTCTACTTTCTTTTTCTACTTTATATTACAAGACTTTACACAAATCATGCCTCGTCAGGTGAGATTACAGGGTATAAAAAAAAGTCATGCCCTTAATGACTTGTCATCTTCAGACAAATTCTACTTCTTTTTCTTTCTTTCTTTTTTTTTTTTTTTAGTGGCTGGCCAGTATAGGGAACCAAACCTTTGACCTTGGTGTTACAAGGCCACACTCTAATCAACTGAGCTAACTGGCCAGCTCCCCCTCTATTTCTGAAGGTGCCTTCATAATATATATCAACTTAACATAGATAAATAAAAGAATTTGCCATCCCAAATGTATGCATCAAAATTGGTTATACTGGCTAGTGCTTCATTTCTGTGTTTAAAGAAAGAATGTCAGAATAACAGAGATTAATAATAAAGGAAAAAGCTTCTCAATTTCTTTCTGTTTCTCAACTGTACAAAATAGGAAGTAATTGATTTTCAGTAAAATGTTATCCGCTTTACAATCTTGAGAAATACATTAACAACAAAAATTATTTTTAAAAGTAAGATAAAAGGTATTTTAGATCAAAATTAGTTTTAAGAGTTAAGATTATACTTTTACAAATGTCTAACTTATCAGCAATAAAGCCACTGCAAATCATTTTTGGAATTAGGAAAGCTAGAACACTTAAAACTATAATGTTTTATGATAAAAGTATAATTTTAATTTCTAAATTATGTGATTTGTAACAAAAACATATTTTGACATAAGTACTTTTTAAAAAATTTACCTTTTGTTCCTGCAAAAACTGGTCTGCTAACTTTTTAATATTTTCTTCATGCTGTGCTCTTAATTCCTTGATCTGCTGTCCACACTGAAAACTAAATTACAAAGTCATTCTTTTACATTATATTCTCTTCGATTGGATTCTCAAAGTTGTCTAGAGGTTGACATACACATTTAGAAAGATAAAAACTTCAGTTAGCAGAGGAAAGTGGACACAGAAGGACACAGAGCAAACAGCTCACACTTAACCTTTTTTAAACACCTGAATTTGAAATAAAGGATAAAGAATACTGATAAAGCTAACTTAGAAAACAGAAACAAGAATAATGAAGACAATCTTTTTCTATTATTTTTCTAAACTGCATCTACAAAGAAATAATTGTCAAAGCCAATTTCAATCACAGAAAAGATAAATACTGTGGAAGAAAAAACTGTGAGACCAATTTATAGCAATACATGAGAAGAACTAGAATTATGAGAGTTGATAAGAGTGGGAGTAGATGACCCATCCAATAAGTAGTATTTTTAAAACTATAATAAAAGTCTAAACCGCACAAAAACAGGAATGGAGGAAACTAATAAGATAGAGTGGTGCCATGAAGAGAAAACGAAAAGGAGCAAAACAGGATGGTAACTGTCCTCTAGACAATTAGTTAAAGGATACAAATAGATCATTCATGCAAAAGAAACATTTAGTTAATAAATACATAGAAAAATGTTAATAGTAACATTAGTTAATAAACACATGGAAAAATGTTATAAAATGCAAATTAAACTTCCTATATGCATATATGGCAGTACCGTATTCCTAAAGTAGCAAAATTAAATTAGAATTATAACCAATGTTGGTAGGGCCATGAGGAAACATCAGTATTATAAATTAGTACAATCATTTTAGAAAGCAATCTTTCATCTATGCTACAGGACCAACAAAATTGGCAAAACATTCTTTCTCAGGAATTCTACATTTGAGAATATACACTAGTGAAATAACATGGGGGAATCTTCTTTGCATAAAAAGTTTTATAGTTGTGATAGTCTTAATAGTGAAAAAAGGAAAACTCCTTCAGTGGTCCCACAATTGGGAGAGAGTACATTATATGCTGGAATAATATATTACCTTTAAATATGTTAAATCTCTAATCCTATGATATACGGAAAAATATTGAATACTGTTAGGTTAAAACACATATATATAAGTAGATGCATATTGATAACCTACAACAGTAAGAAGTCAGAAATGGATAAACAATGTTTTAAAATATGGCAAATTCTTCTAATTTTTGGTGTGCAGACCTAAAAAAAATACCTTTTACCATAAAATTGATTAAAGATATAATAAAGGTTTTTTTTAAAGAGTGAATGCTAGAAAGGCTCCTAAGAGGCTCCCCAATTTCATCATGGAACATACAGGAAGGGGGCTGAAGTGCAGAGCAGGAGAAGCAGCCAGCACTCTTAGTCCCTCAGCTATTCTGGGGACATCTCCCAATGCTGGCTTCATCATATGGATGCCACTCGAAAGGAATCATAGAATCTCCTTTCAGTCTTTGCCACATCTAAGTCTATGAGATTCAGAACTTGCATGATTTTCTACCTCACAAAGGACCCTACAACAGAGACAAACTTAACATGCCCTGTAAGAGATATTTTCATAGTATTTAACATATCAAAATAAGAGTATGGATTTCAAAGAGCCATCAAAACACAATAGAAAAGGAATTTTAAAATCCTAAGATGAAAGAAGAATAGAAAAACAGAAGCCAGAAAGGAAGAAATAAGTTCAAAAGTTGGACAAATAATTCAGATTCATAAATATTTTTTGCATGTAGCATCTTACCTTTCATATTCTAACCTCTTCACAAGGTAAGTATTATTCTTCCTATAGTCCTGAAGCTGGTCTTCTTGTCGAAGAAACTCCTGACGAAGCTCAGCAAGTTGCTCTATCCATGCAAGGTAAGAACCAAAGGAATCAAGTTTACTCATTGTAATGCTTCCTTTTGAGAAGCTATGAGATGTTTTGGTTTTTTTTAAATTATACACACTTCTCAATTTCTTTACTCATACTTTCAGGAAGTTAAATTATATAATTCATACCACACTTAATGCCTTTATAACACATTCATGGTCAATAAAATTTATTTTTAAAACAAAATAGTCTCAGTGACTTTCACATCAATCTGAAATATTTTTTAAATTACACATCTTTTCCCATTATGTAGGCACACACAAAAGTGTGGAGACAGGACCGAAATACCTATACCTATCTCTTTTTTTTCTTTTGTTGCTGGCTGGTATGGAGATCAGAAAGAACCCTTGACCTTGCTGTTATAACAGCTCACTCTAACCAACTGAGCTAACCGACCAGCCCTTATTTCTTTAAACCTATCTGCTTTATAGAAGTAGAAAACATACTTTCTAGATATGCTCAGTATGGTACAAAATTCAAGGTTTCTTTTTCTTTTTAAATCACACTTGACTACCAATTCAGGCGCCGATCACTTTAGATCTCATTTCTAGTTCTCCTACTGATGCTAGCTCCACATATCCCCAAATCCCATTTTCAAAGCTAAAATTTCTGGACTAGAGCTGAAAGGTTTGGGTTGTAATAAACAACAAGACATTCCAAGCTGGATAATAAATGAAAACCTGGGCCAGATGCTCTTTTGTAAATACTTAATCCATAATCACTGGCCACATATTTTCCAGATATCATTCCCTAATCATTTAACTCTACAGATGAAAGAAATGCAGGCAGAGAGAGTAAATGTCAATTTCTTGGACAGATGATTAAAAAATCAGCTAACAGCCTTAGCAGTTAAGCAAAAGTAGTATTAAGAAAGTTCTAAAAAAAAAAAAAAAGTTCTAATTTTTGGGCCGGCCCGGTGGCGCAGTGGAGAGTGCGCCACTTGGGAGTGCGGCGGCGCTCCCGCCGAGGGTTCGGATCCCATGTGGAGACTGGTTCCCGCTCACTGGCTGAGCGCGGTGCGGGCGCAACACTGAGGGTTGCGATCCCGTTGCCGGTCAGTAAAAAAGACAAAAAGGAAAAAAAAAAAAAAAAAGAAAGTTCTAATTTTTATAAATGGGAACAGAGATCTATACTGTATAAAAGGAACAACTATTAAGATTAAAATATAATATCTAACCATAAAATACCAATATTATACCTATAATATAATATCTACTTTTCATGGAAGGCTTATACAATTCATCTTACTACTCTAAAGGTACTCCAAAAATGCTTGGGATATGTATTTTTTAAAAGCAGATGTAAACATATAATTGTACCATGTAAAAAAACAGACCAGAATAAAAATTAATCCAAGTGCTATCAGTAATTATGTTTGGTTATGGGATTCTGAGCATATTCTTCTTTCTCTACTTTCTAAATTTTATTGTGGAATTATAACTGTGGCAAAAACAGCAAATAAAAATTTAAATCACATGAACATTTGCTGAGATATATAAATAAAAAGTTTAATAACATACATAATAATAGCTATTGCACAGTACAATAATTGGGGATGAAAAGTCAGTGATTCACATAAAATATTAGCAGTTAATTATCTTATATATTCAAGCCACATTTTAAATTTCTTTTTATAATATTAATTCTCTAACATGTAAATATGTTTGATTTACCCCCACCTCAGATAAAAGTGACAAATCTTTGGCCAGGTAACCATAAAAAACACATTTAGCTTGTTACCTGATTCCTGTCCCCACCTCCTAAGATATAGCAGGCTAGAGGTAGCAGAAACCCTGGCTCCAGCTATGAATGTTGATTCTATAGAGATAATGAGATCCCAGCATGAAGCAGTGACAAAAACCTTGTAGCTAAGAGATGGAATTAGCCAGGTTAGTAAACCTGTGCTCAAACTGGATACGTTCTAGAACTGAAAGTTACTATAATTAAAAAATAAATAAATAAATCAGTAACTACCAGGAATGGACTTCAATTGGTGATCTTTAGGACTCATTCTTCTCAGGAAAAAGGGAAGAGAAATATTACAGTCCTTTCTGATTCAGGCTTCTTTTTCCTACACTGTAAATTACCTGAAGTAGCTTCAAAATGAACCTGACACTTATGATTTCAAGATTCAGGACAGCTTCTCTTCTTCCCCACACAGCTCCCCACAGACAATATCTGAAATGCCTTTGTAAGGAAATAAAATTTTCATTTATAGTTGAAGATAAAAGGCTTAAAATATAATTGACAAAGAAAAATAAAACATCAGTATGAATGTAAAATATCATATAAAATATTAGATTCTTTCCTGTTTGAATACAGGGAAAGAATTATAAAGCAGGGAGATAATTGATGCTTTAAGTGGGTCAAAACAAAGACTTGAAAGGAGAAAAGTAAGGAGACTAGAAAGCAAAACTAAACGCAAAATTTTCCTAAATCACAATTCTACTTTCAACTGATTAGCATGCATGTGTTTTCTTTATATAATCCCAAAGATTGAGTCTAGTGTGGCTGCTTCAGGTCCATAGCAAGATTCTCAGAGTAACTTAAGATGAACCAGGTTCAGTGTTGCTTGTTCCAGATGTTCTGTCTCTGAAAGTAACACCAGGGTATGTTATAGAAAAACATGACTGTACTACTTCAAAAGATTAGGAATAGATAAGAAAGAAATTGCCTAGGACCAGCTTTTAAAGCAAAAAAAAAAAATTACTTCTAGAAAATTTTAACTTCAAATTTTCTTTCAGTAATAAGCATAAAATGAAAATGAGCTATTCAAAATAAATCAGTGTATACTAGAATGTTAATTTATTACCTCAGGGATTTAAAATAACAAAATCTCATTCCTTTTATTTCTAAGAAAATATTAACCACCATAGGCTTTTTTAAGGGTCTTAGTGTCTATTCCATTGCTTCTGGCATTAATTTCAAAGAAAATAGTCAAATATGGACTTTATAATTGATTTGTCAAGAAGTTTGTTTCAGAAGAAATCATTTCTAAGGTGCAAAGGTCAAATTAATGAAATTCAATCTTAATAGTGCTAGCTTCAGTTAGTACATTGGAATCAAAAGTACAGCTATGTATTCAAAGCCTTTTTCTCTGCTGAAGAGTATCATATAATATCTCATAAATTCTCAAGATCTACTTCAACACATACAGTACAATAAAGATTTTTACTCAGTAACACATGTTGTCATTTTCGTTGACAAATACTAACAAAAGCCACAGGACTTCTTATTCAACTATTACTATTTAATAAGAAATATACTTTGATGACAAGCAGACTCATTTGTAAAAATTGCAAGCTGGAAGCAGCACTGACAGCGTGGAATCTTCTATGTCATCCTAATGTACTCCTATGACTCAGAAAGAGTAGAACATGGAAACAAATTCAACAGAAACAAATGCGACCACCCAGGAAGCATTTTTAACAGAAAGTACAAGCTGTTCTAAATCATAAATAGTAAAAAGTTAACAATTTCTATTTTAGGGTTATAGCACCCAAATAATACTTCCTAATGGTTTTGCTAGGTGAGGAGGAAAACTTTACTACATCACAAAGCCAACTCAGGTTGACTACTTCAAAAGGATGAGAAAAAGAGATTAGCTAATTCTATCCAAAGAGGCTCAAAATGATCATAGGATAAAGGGATATTTATGAAATTAGAGAGCATGTATTACCCACATACATTAACTTAGAGCCAATGCATGCAGTTTTAAAATATACAGTGTTGCAACAAAGGGTGTAAAAGAGAAGAAGGCTATAAAGTAATGTAAGCAGAATGCAGAGCTTGTTCTCCTTATTTTTTCCATAAAAACTTTAGTCACCCCCTATCACTTCATCTAAGTGAAAATGTGTGTGTGTGTTTATATTTAATGTTTGTTTGTGTATTTATTAAACATTTATCTTCCAGGTTCCTTTCTGTTCCTAGAGTTATCTAAAGCATTAAGCTGGGAGGCCTTGTCCAAAGCATCCCTAGACCTGAACAGATTATTTTAGCAGATTGGACACAGCACAGAGGGAGCACTGCTCACCTTTTCCCTAAAAATTTGATGGCCTCTGAAGCTACAACTAAATTCTCTTTGAGTTTTCATGCAATGAACCCTGTCTACAGCACAAGATTAAGATGCAGACCTCAAATTTTATCTTGCATTTATTACATATGAAGCAACATTAAAAAATGTTTATTATATCTTAAGACAAAAAGATAAATATTTTCCCATCAGAGGAGCTTTACTTGGGAAATTTTATTTCATTTAGCTGTCTAACTTATTTCTTAATTCTTGAGGAATTTAGACATTTAGTGACCTTTGATTACCTTTAATCTGTAAGTTTCTTACCCTTTAAATGATGTATGTCTGCCATCTGATATGATATGTTGTTCTGTAGTTTAACCTGAAAAAAAAGTAAGTTTTCATTTTACTAAAGAATGTAGTTTTGTTCATATTTACTTTTTTTTGGTCACATTCGCTTTTGAGCTTGATCATAAATGCAATGAAAGACTGGTTATTTAGACCCCACATCTTTCCAAAAAGAATTAGATGCAAATTCTGATTTTGTAATGCTTATTTTAAATTTTCACAAGAATATTCATTTTACTTGATATACAATATAACAACTTTCAAAAGTTTTAAAGTTTGAGACTTCCAGTCTAGATGGCAGAATAGACAGTCCCCAGTATCACTTTCTCCCACAAATCAACCAATTTACAACTATAAAAAAGCAACAACATCCAAGCTGGGGCCACTAGAGCTCAAGGGAAGAGGAGAGACCTATGGAGTGCATGAAGGCGGGAGAAGCCACAATGAGAGAGAAGCCACAAAGAAAGAAAGAAAAAACCTCTCTGACCATTTCAAGCCCGGGCCGCTTCCAGGCTGCAGCTGCTGAGCACACAGAGCAGGAGCAGGCAAAAGCCACAGCTGTGCCCTTCAGATGAAGTTGCTTGGAGGCAGCAGGGGAGAAGAGGACCTTGGTGGCTCCCAGGCCAGCAATACCACTAATACAGTTCCCGTGGACCCACATAGGAGCGAGGAGCCACAACAACTGAAAAAAAGGAGCCACTCGGAGGCCGGTGAGTCATTACAAGGGACCAGCGCATGGCCTGTCCCATGGGAAGTGTTTGGAGCACAAGTGGTGGGAGAGACAGGCCCACCAGCAGAACACGGGCACAGCAAGGACAGCCAACCCACCCCCAATCAGCATAGGACCTCAGAGGAGACTGGTCAGGAATATAAAATTGCATGGGGTGCAGTTTGATGAAAAGACTGAGGTCCAGACCAGAGTTTCTACACAATCCCAGTGCACCAGCTCAAGTACTGGTCCTCACAGAAAGTTCCTTAATTTTAGAAGTAAGCAAAGGACAACATAATTAGTTCCAGCGCAGAGTTTAAGTGGTGGGAACAGCAAATAATCCAACACAGAACTGAAAGAAAAAACAAAGTACCCACAACCAGAGACAAAGTTTGATATTGACTAGAAAAGGTCTCATTTCACCAAAGAACACCTATAACACCTAGAAGGACTGGAAGTCCCCTGGGCTACCAAGCCAAAAAGAGGGGAGGGCCGGTACTCAGCAATGCCCCCCCCACAACCAGTCCCAAGGGTGGGGGACCAAAGCCTCAGCCACACCCCTCAACATGTGCAAACAGCTCAGACACGACCACCAAGCTGCAGCAAGAAGGGACCTCCAAGATGCAGCAAGAAGGGCCCCGGGTTTCCGAGCTGGGGTGGTGGGGGGCGAGGGCTTTTGTCACACCCCCCTGACATCTGCGCCCAGCCCAGCAATGACCAAGCCACGGCTGGAAGCCCCCCAGTCTCCCCTGTGGGAATGAGGGGGGTGACACAGGCCTCAATCCCGCCCTTCCTCTTTCCTCCTTCTTCCACCCCATTTCTTTCCCCTTTCCCCTCTCCCTCTCCCTCCCAACTGCTCTACAACAACATCCTAGAATGTAAAAAATAATATAAAATTATTTTCTTTAAAAAAAGTTTTAAAGTTTGAGTTGAACATCACTTAATGTTTTTTCAAAATCTTTCAGAAGAGACCTCTAACTCTTTATCAAGAAAAGAATTGTCTGAATCATTTAAAGTCAAATCTGAAGTAATTAATGTTTATCAGCTCCCATAGAATGACACAGTATCCTGTGCAGTATCCTATCCAGGACTCAGAGCTGTGGTCACTGTCCTTTAGGAGCCAGTATACAAGAACACTAAAAACTTAAAAGAGTACCAAAACATGATTCAAATTTAGGCTTACCACTCCATTTAAAAATTAAACCAAGGCCTTGGATAAGCCAGGACTACGTACACAAAGAACCACTGTGTCTCAATTCTTGTCTTTTTTTTTTTTGTCTTTTTCCGTGTCCGGCAACGGATCGCAACCCTCAGTGTTGCCCCCGTACCGGACCAGGGACCGGCAACGGGATCGCAACCCTCGGTGTTGCCCCCGCGTCTCGCTCAGCCAGTGAGCGGGAACCGGTCTGTATGTGGGATCCGAACCCTCGGGCGGGAGTGCCGCCACGCTTCCCAAGCGGCGCACTATCCAGTGCGCCACCGGGCTGGCCCTCAATTCTTGACTTACACAAATTTCACCTAATTGTAAAATGTAACTACAAATGGGTTCTCTTTTCTACCTCAAGGTAATTTCAACAGGCACAGGCAGATTCATACTGATCTGAAGCAGCACTATGGGTGGCAAAATGATTATGATAAATACCACCTCAATCTCTAAAGAACATGTAAAAAATTTTTATTTTGATATAGATTCACAGGAAATTGCAAAAATAGCAAAGAGAGGTTCCACGTACACTTCACACAGTTTCCCCCAATGAGTAAATCTTGTATTACTGCAGTATAACATCAAAACCAGGAAACTGACATTGGTACAATGTGTATATATAGTTCTATATCATTTTATCATATGTGAAGATTCGTGTAACCACCATCACAATCAAGATACAGAACTATTCCATCATCACAAAGATCACCCTCATGCTGTCCTTCCTAGTCACACCCATACCCTCTACCATCCAATGTCAAGCTACTGGATGGGAGAGTATAAAATAAGAAAACATGAGAGCAGTCAAATCTGAATTAGTCATTGAAGGCCAGGTAAAACTTTAAACAGGTGGAAAAAGGCATTTCAGATAGAGATGACATAAAAAAAAAAAAGATACAGAGGCAAGAAAGTATGGAGTATACATGAAGTCTCCACCAAAGTACTATTTGACTAAGCACACGATATAGGGGAAAGAATAGTAGAAAAGGATAGACAGAGACCACGGAGGGCCCTTCAGCTCAAGGTAGAGTCTATTCTTCAATCTGAGAGCCCGTGACTTTCTAATTTAAAATGAAAGTTGCTCCATAAACAGATAACAGATGAAAGCAGAACAGCTGTAGTTGAAGCAGGAGTAGGAGCCCAGAGTCCCTCTTTCTTTTCCCCTAGAGTCCTGGGGGCTTTAAAAAATGAAGTTTAAAATATAAGGCTGATATTCAGTGATCAAAAAGGAATGAAATACTAGTACATGATACAACATGGATGAGCTTCGAAAACATTATAAGTGAAATAAGCTAAGTAAAAGAAGCCAGTTGCAAAATTACAAGTTAAGTGAAAGAAGCCAATTGCAAAAAAAAAAAAAATTGCTTGTCTGATTCCATTTATGTGAAACGTATAGAACAGGCAAATCCATAGAGACAGAAAGTAAATTAGTGGTTTCCAGAGGCTGGGGGGAGGAGGGAATGAGGAGTGACTTCTAAATGTGCACAGGGTCTCCTGTTGGGGTGATAAAATATTCTGGAATTAGTGGTGATGGTTGCCCTACACTGCGAATCCACTAAAAACCACTGAATTATACACTTTATAAGGGTGAACTTTATGGTATGATTTATATCTCAAATTTTAAAATGAAAAACATAAAAATACTAAGGGTATTATGGGGGCACCATACAGGAAACTGGGGATAAAACAATGAACAAACATTATGCACTCAAAAAGCTTATAATTTAGGAGAGGCAGTCAAGTAAATAGGCAATTATAATATAGTAAATGTATCATTGGGTTCTATAGACATGGTGGGAGAACTTAGCAGAAGCACTTTAATCCAACCTTGGGGGAGTGAGTACAGGCTTCTGGAGATGATGATTATGGTTGAAATGAGTCCTGCAGGAGGAGTAGTGTTTAGCCAGGTGGTAGTAGGGAGAGGGTAAGGAAGTAAGATACTCAAGGCACGTGTCAAAACTCAGAGGTACCCCATATGGGCCAGTTGTCAAAAAAAAAAAAAAAAGTTAGAAGTGAAAAACACTGAACATTCTAGGAATTTCAAGCAGTTCCACGTAGCTGGAACAGAGAATTAGGGGAAAGTGGTAAGAAATATGGCTAGAAAGGCAAGCAAGGTCCATATTATGAAGGGTCTTGCCAAGGAATATGGATATATCTTGTAGGCTATGGTCAACCTTTAAAAGCAAGGTAGTGAAATCCAATTTGCAATTGTGAAAAGTCAATCTGGCTACAGTGTGAAGAGTAGACCAGAGGGGGCAAGACTAGAAGAAGGAAGACCAGGTAGGAGACTGCTGCCATATTATAAGTGAGACAAAATGTTGGTCTAAGCCATGGGTGGGCAAACTATGGCCTGTGAGCCTGTATTTTTAAGGATGGCAAGCTAAGGTTACATTTTTTAAATGGTTAGGGGAAAAAAACAAAAGACTCTGTAATACATGAATTGTATGAAATATAAATTTCAGTGTCTATAAACAAAGTTTTATGGGAAAACAGCCACACCAACTTGTTTACATATTGTCTATAGCTGCTTTGGAGCTATAGTGCTTATGACAGCTACATGGCCTGCAAAGCCTAAAGTATTTACTATCTGGTCTTTCATAGAAAAAGTCTGCCAACTCCTGATCTAAACTAATAGTTAGAGAACAGAGAAGTAAATATATGTGACAAATATTAAATGGGAAGAATGAATAGTCTTGCAGATTGACTAGGTACAGGGGTAAAAGAAGGATGATATTTGGATTTCTAAATAGTGGAACTAAATGAATAAGGATACAATTCTCTGTAATAGCGAAATCCAGAAAGAGAAACTGATCTGGGGTGGGGGAAAGAAGCAGAGAAATGATTTTTTCAGATTTGAATTTGAACTTTTTTGACATACCCAAAAAGAGATCTTCAGTAGGCAGCTGGACATACAGGTCTGGAGCTTGAATGATGATTTCAGAGTCACTAGCATACAAATGGTAATCAAAGCCATGGGAATGAGATCACTGAGGGAAAGTTGCAGGGGCAGCAGAAAAAACTGACACCAACAACTATTTAATCAGTTGATCACTAAGAACTGTTTTCTAATAACCTCCAATTAGCCTATGTTCACTTTCCCATGTCCTTTATTTTTATGATC